CAGTTAAGGAGGAAGAAAATCATATTTATTGAATATTTACCTTTTATCCTGGAAGCATATATAATGCAGTCTTCCCAGTTATCCAAGGGGAGCATCACCTATATATAAGTTCTGACTTAACTCTGAAGGAACTGAGATTCAGAAAATGAAGAATTAGTCACAGACTAAGCTATCTGATTCTAAATAGCATGAATAATATAAATGAATATATAAACATGAATAATAGCAACTAACATTTATTAAGTGCTTATTTCCAGGTACTGTGCTAGTGTGCTATACACATTTAAAGTTAATTCTAATAAGTAGCTAGAAAGAGAATCATTGTCTTCATGTTACAGAGGAAGAACTAGGGGCTCAGAAGAGTTAAGCTAAGATTGCCCAGGGTTACACAGGTATGTTGGACCCCAGAACTTAGGTTCTGTTACATGGCTTTCTCATATGCTATTCCAATTATATCATTGTCAACTTTATGGAGGATGGTGTTAATATGTCCAGAATCACACATTTCAATCCCTAATTTACTCAGGATTTCTTCCTCACAAATGCATAATAACATGTATCAGAAACTATAATTGACCCTTGAACATAGGGGATAGAGTTGTCAACCTCCCATACAGTCAAAATCCACCTATAACTTTTGACTCTCCAAAACCTTAACTACTAAGAGTTTACAGTTGATCAAAAATCTTGCTAATAAAATAACAATTGGTAACACATATTTTATATGTATTTTATACTGTATTGTTATAATAAACTAGAGAAAAATGTTACTAAGAGAACCAAAAGGGAGAGAAAATACATGTAAGGTACTTTACTATAAAAATGCATATTAATATACCCATTTAGTTCAAAGCTGTGTTGTTCATGGCTCAACTGTACATATAATAACCATTTATTTATTCCACAACATTTTATTAAGCACCCATTGTGTGTTAAGCATAATTCTAAGTAGTGGGGATACAGTGGTTTATAAAGCTTATAGTTTAGGACCAGAAAGACTTTAAACAAATAATCATACTAATGTATATAAAAACACAAAGCTATATAAAAATCATTAAGAAAATTTAGAGTTGAGAAGAGATTGTAACAGAAGGATCTGAATTAGATGGGTTGTGGGGAGGATGAGGGTCCTAACAAAGTCTTCTCTGAGGAGCTAACATAAAAACTGAGCCCTGATTGGAAAAAAAAAATACATATGATGAAGGTGGAGGGTATTTCAGGAAGAAGAAAGGGCAAATGTCAGATCTCTACGATGGAAAACACTTGACAGATTATAAGATATCCTATTTAAAAACTTATGCATTCATATATTACATTAAGTGGGAAAAGGATGCTACTACACGTCTGGTTTTGTTTTTTTATAATAAGAATAGGAGGATAAATATAGCAGATCCCTTCCATGGAATAGCTCAGTTGCACAGATAAATTGTATGATAAAGACATAAACAAGAATGCCTTGGGAACAGAAGAGAGAGCAGCTAAGACATCATAAGGGAGCTCATATTTGAGTTGAGTTGAACTGAGTGAAGGATGAGGATTTCATGTGGCAGAGAAGTGGGAAAGCACTTTCCCAGCAGAAGGAATAATACGTGTAAAGGCACAAAGATGAGAGAAGTTGGGGGGAAGAGGACTGCTTATTAGAGAAGGGGCCAGTAGTTAAACTATGGCCAGACTGAATGGTTTTGTAAATCCTGTTAAGAAGTTTGGACTTTCCAGGCTTAGACAGGGGCAGATATTCAGGGTGTTAGGCAGAAGAAAAATATTTAAGAGGTGATTGTGGTAGGTTTATAGGGTTTGAATTATAAAATGGTGGCAGGTTGAGAAACGAAGAGACTTTTGTAATATCCAAAGCTAGAGACAATAAGCTTCTCAACTAATCCAATGGCAGTATGAGTGGAGTGGATGGGGCAGGTTTGAGATGTATTTTGTGTTTAAGAGAAGCTGGCCATGCTAAGGCTAAAGAAAGAATGTATAAATACCTCATAATAACCCAGAACCCTAAGATACTTTGGAAATCTTCTTCTTCCTCGGATTGCTATTTGATAAAATATTATCTCTCATATATATGTGTATATATATATGTAATATATACACACACATATGTGTGTATGTGTATGTGTGTGTGTGTATGTATACAGATATATAGACTGTCAGACAGTATTTTATTTATGTGTGTGTGTATATATATATATATATATATATATATATATATACGTTTATGTGTCTATATCTATTGAACTATTTTTTAATTTACTTATCATAAAGGACCACCATTTGTGCACCGAACAATCTGCACAACCATATGAGAGGTTTTAGCCCACCACCATCAATGAAAAGAGAACTGATAAACATGCACTCTTGGCAGGGCTGGGGGGCCCTCATGTCTGCAGCTGAGACTAAAACATACTGTGCTATTTGTCATCTTTTAATCAGACTTGTGTGAGTCCTACCATTTTTTGTGAATGATTTTAATATTTTGGTTAAGACTTGTACATTTTTGTGTTTACCTATATAACCATAAACACTAGTTATATAGATAGATAAATGGATAGATAGATACATAGATACATAGATTGACACATAGATTTATAGATACTTAGAAACAGATCCATTTGCCATAAATAAGTGTCTACAAATGGAACAGATCTCCTGTCAAAATAGGTAGAAGTATTTGTTCATTTTCAAGTACTCCTTTCTTCAAAAAATTTGTCATGCTAACAAAGGGAGGGCCATTAAAAGTATTGTCAAATTCAATTCAGATTCAGACTTAAATTGGAAGCATTGAGAGCTGTGCTTGGTAAGTGCTGCTTGCCAGTAGCAGGCCCTGAATTAACAAAGATGATTAAAATGGGCTCCTCCCCTCAGTGCTATGTAATGTGTTGGGGAAGCAACTGGAACGAGGTGGTTTTGTTCATTATGGTTAAATGCTGTGAGGGAAGATGCACTGGGAGATCATTCAAAGCAGAAGAAACAAAATAGACAAATATAAATACTGTGTTTGGGGTATTGATAAGACAAACAAAGAAGCTGCTTAATCTGATGGAAAGAATTCTGTCATTTACTGGCCATGTCCTTTTGGGTAATTTACTTAACTCTCCCCTGGCCCCAATTTTTTTTTCATTTTCAATAGTGGGAATATTTATTTCATAACTTGTAAAGTAGCCATAAAATAATATACGTGCAACTTTTGAAAACAAGCATTTTGTGTTAACATACATTATTGCATTGTACATATTAATATGAGTATCATGATTGAGAAAAAAAAGAACTTTTTTTCCTCCCAGTTCACTCTTTGTGCTTCCTTTCTTCTTGGTGTACACACCCTAAAAGCTATACTTATCTTTCTTCCTTTGAGAAAGTGGCAGGGCCATTCTGGAAGTGCTGGGGTGGGTTGGGGTGGGGGTTGCAGTCAGCACTGCCTGGGGCTTGGTGGGAGTGTGGATTAATTTTGCAATTGCACTCCAGGAACGAACATTCTAATGGGTGACATTGGCTGAGTACCTAGAGAATGAGGCAGTCATGCTGAATATCCATGGAATTTTACAAATATCTATTAAGCCAGGACCCCTTGAACTATCAGATGAAACATAGCATGTACAGAATTGGTGATTCTGAACTGGGGCTTGTGTTGGAAGATCTGGCCCTGGACATCACATGTACTAAATTATCCTCTACGAACCTGACTGTACAACCCCCTCCCCCGAGCTGTCTATCTTAACACCAGCACCAGGGAGACTCCCGGGTCTAGAGAAAGAACTTCAGAGGGCCCAACACATCCAACTAAAGCAGACATTATTCTGAGAATATTGTGGAAGGTGCACTGAAGTTGTTGCTTTATAAAAGTGAAAAAAGTATTGACATTTCTACCCAGAACTATTTTTTAACAAGCTAGAAAATACTGAAAAACAGGTAGTACAGTTATCTCAAGAGAATGCAGTGTAGTTAGAATGCACACTATTTTTTCCCAGTGTGTATTTGGATAAAATATGTGCAATGAAATTTCAGGCCAAATCCTAATGCAGAAATAATCCAAAATATGGCAGATTTATATGATAGGCCGTTTTTATTTATTTGCTAATGTGGATTCCCTTAAGAAGTCAAATGTTCTACATGTTACTTATGGCTTCTCCTTGAAAAGACTTAACTCTAAGGTCTCAGCAGCATAAAACTCCTGGCAGCAAAGTTGTCTGAATTGAGCATCAGCCATAATTCTCCTTTGTCACTGACTCTGGGTGGTTTGGAACCTACCAGTCCTCTACCTGTTTGGTAATTAATAATTTTTAATTAAAATGGCAGTTTGAATAAATCAGCATAGTCGTAGAATTTGAGCCTCCTCTCTTGCCATCCTTCGGAGAATCTGAAACATAACAGAGAAGAAAGGTTTAGGTATCTGAAATCTTCCATTAAAAGCTTTGAGCTCTGCACCCCCCAACCCCACCCCATAGTTTTTGGATTTGTTCCATTGTTCTTTGAATCTTTCTTTCCAAAAGGAATTAAGCAGAACCCTTTGTCAGCCTTGTGCTAGACAATGAGGAAATAGAGACGCATGTGACTCCATCCTTATCCTTGAGGAACTAACTCTAGGTAAAAAGACAGGCATAAAAAAAATCAGCTGTGATACCACATACCACAAGGAGAAAGGGAGGTGATTCTCTTCTCAGATTGGTGGAGAAGTGAGGGAAAACTGCAGAGGGCAGGTGATCTTTGAAGTCCCTTGAGGGATGAGTCATATCTTTCCAGGTAGGAAATGAAGAAAAGAAGAGGAAAACAAAGCAATGGAAGTATTTGTTTTTGCCATGTTCCTGGGAGAACCAGGTTTGAGCCCTAGCAGTGCATAGTATTAATGGCCACCTTGTTGGCAAATCAAGCAATCTGAACATTATTGTTGAGACTAATACTTATCATAAAAGCATGCTATGCAAATATTTATAGGCTTACATCTCATTTTGAGTAAAAAGAATCATCCTCATGTATTTCGTTTCTCCTCTGTTTCTTTATAGTTCCTCCCCAGATCATGAATATCTCCTCAGACATCACTGTGAATGAGGGAAGCAGTGTGACCCTGCTGTGTCTTGCTATTGGCAGACCAGAGCCAACTGTGACATGGAGACACCTGTCAGTCAAGGGTAAGTTCTTTGCTTTGGGAATTTTTCAGAGTTATTCTATTATTCTATTGAAGAATTTGTTCTAAAGCACACCAAAACTTTGGAAATCAAAAAGCAATGCTGTATTTGTAACATAGTAATGCAAAAGCAAATAGACCACATGCATCAGTCACTGAGTATTCCATTCCAAAAAAAAAAAAAAAAAAAAAATTAAAAAAGGATTTATAAAGAGAAAGTGTACTGAATTATTTTCTCAGTCCTTTTTATGGCCACAGAAAACTTCTGTTTTCCCAGGCAGGAAGAACAGGGGTGCCATCTCTTTAAACAAAGATACTAATTTCTTAAGGTGGAGATGCATGGGTCAGTTGGTCATTAGCCCTTTCTTTAAGAAGAGTGCTAGAAGGTTAGCATGCCCATTGTAAAATGTTGGTATTACTGTGCATCCTTAAGAAAAAAGATCTCCTTACTCAGTACTTTCAGACCATTTCCCCAGAGCCACACCTATTTGACCCATACATCAATAGCCCACCTGGATGGAAATGGTGAAGTACCCTCGGCATGCATGTGCTGGGCACTCAGTGGTTGGCATTCAATGTCAGTGATGATCATCACCACCTCTGTAGGAAGGGAACCAAGAGAACAGTGGGCCTTATCCCTTTGGAACAAAAACTTACTCTAAGTTGAACTTGAAGAGATGGGTACAGAGTCACCTTGTGTATTTATACATTACTAGAAACTATGATTAATTCTAGAAATTATATAAGAAACAAATGCTCCCTCAAGCATGAGAAAATCCAAGCATAGCATGAACTTCAGTGAGACAGGAGAAGGTGTGGAGTATGCCTGTGTATTATATAAAAATAACCTAGATCTAGAGGAAACCGTAGGAACACACCTTCATGACTTTGAAATAGAGAATGTTTTGCTAGGACATCAAAGGATCTTACCACAAAAGAAGAAAACAAGAATAAATTTGGCTTTGTATCATTTTCTCATGGCTGCGGTAACAAAGTGCTACAAATGGTTTGGCTTAAACAACAGACATGTATTTTCTTGTTGTTCTGGAGGTATATGTCCGTGATTGAAGGGAGGTAAGGTTGGTTCCTTTCCAGGGTTGTGAGGGAGAACCTGCCCAATGCGTATCCATTAGTTTCTGGTGGTTGGCTGGCAGGCTTTAGTGTTTCTTGGCTTGTAGATGTATCCCCCTGATTCCTGCCTTCATTATCACATGACCTTCTCCCTGTGTGCCTCTCTTGGTATCCAATTTTCCTTTTTCATAGGGACACCAACATATCAGATTAGGGCCCAGTCTAATGACCTCATCTGATTTTGGTACTTATAAAGACCCTATTTCCAAATAGGGTCACGTTCTGCAGCACGAGGATTAGAACTTCAGAGTATCTTTTCTTGGGGAATGTAGGGGAATGCAATTCAATTAATAATGGCTTCATCAAAATTAAAAACACCATTTAAGTATAAACGAAAAGACAAGCCATAGACTGGGAGAAACAAAGAATTTTGGATTTTGTCTGGGTTATGTTTGAGTTTCATCTGGGTTACATGAAGAATTCTTACAACATAATTCTAAAAAACTATCTTGAAGTGAACAAAAAATTTGACAGACAATTCACATAAGAAGATCTACAAGTAAAAAGTAAGCACCTGAACATATGTGCAATATATTTACCATAGAAATGAAAATTCAATCATAATGAGGTTCTACTCACAACTACTAGGCTGTCCAATTTAAAAACAACAACAACAACAACAGCAAACAACAACAGACAGTATCACCTGTTGGGGAGGATGTGGAGAAACTGAAACTCTTACACATTAACTCTGGGACTATAAAATGCTATAAGCACTACAGAAAATGGTTTGGCACTTTGTTACAGAGTTAAACATACACTTAACATATGACCCCCAATTCTGCTCCTGAGTGTTCACCAAAGATCAATGAAAATGTCTGTCTACAAATATACATTGTACATAAATGTTATGGCAGCTTCATTTATAATCACCTCAAACTAGAAATAACCTCAAACCTTCAACAATTAAATAGATAAATTGTGTATATTTAAACAGCAAATGACTTCTCAGCAAGTAAAAATAACAAATCATTGCTGCATGTAACAACATGGATGATTCTCAAAAACAGGCCAAGCAAAAGCAGCAAGACACAAAATTACCTACTGCATGACTTAATAGGCAAAACTAAGTCAAAACTAAGACACAAAATTACCTACTGCATGACTTAATAGGCAAAACTAAGTCAAAATCAAGTCAGTGGTTACCCGGAATAAAGATCTGGGGAGATGTGCCTACAGAGGGGCACAAGGGAATTTTTTCAGCTGATGGAAATGTTTATATCTTCAATACAGTGCTGCTTATGTTGCCTCTTATGTAAGTCAAAATGCCAAATGTTACACGAAAAATGGGAACATTTTATTGTAAGCAAATTAAAATCTCAATGAAACTTTAAAAATATCCACATAGAGATAAGAGAAATACCTGAAAATTTGCCCCTAATTTGTAACATAATTTATGTAAGCAGTACTTCCTAGATAAGAGATTGGAGCACCGTTTAAGGGAAAAGTTAAATGGTCTCATGTCCTCCATGTGTGCAGAGATGCGTGTGTCAACCCCAGCCTTGTTGTAGGGAAAGATAATACAAATAAATGCTCTGAACATTCTTTGTATACAGACCTCAGATATAGAAACACAAAATGTCTATATTATAAAGTAATGTTAATAAGAATATTAAACTATACATGAGGGACATCACAAAGCCCAACTTTAATGAAAATGAAGCAGTGGCTTATGTTCCCAAAGACTTAAGCCCCATGGGAATTTTGCTTGAAGTGAGAGACAATTTTGGATTTATATTACATATAAAACTATGTCTAAACATCTGGCCAATTTCTATGTATTTGGTAAATTCAGAGATTTTTATAAATGCTTGAAATCCAAAAATGCATTTATTTGATCCTAAATGCATAGTTCTCTGAGCCTAGAAATCTTTTGAAAGGCATTTCGACTTTGTGTAAGTGTTTTGAAGCAATACCTTATAATGGTACACTGGTAAGATTTCCCTCAAAATAAGGGAAATTCATCCATATTCTCAATCTTTTATACAACATAATAGTTACAATTCAGCCTCAAAAAAGCTCAGAAAACCCTACATTTAAATGATTCCTCTGCTCTTCAAATCTCCCAGGCTATGATCTACTTTCAGTTGCCTTTTGCTTTTTTATAGCTTCAGCCTTCACTTTGCTGTCTTTCTTTCCCCCATTGTCTTTCTCCTCCTCTCTCCATGATATTTAAACATTTAAACTCAAAGCATTGTTTTCCAAATTTGAAAAGCTTTGGAACCTGGAGGATTTGCAAGTTTAAAATGTGCATCTGCAGATGACTACCATTATTTATTTTTAGAAGGCTATTCCTTCTCACTTAGAGTTGAGGACACTCTGGGAAGTTGTTTTAAAGGTTTTAAAGAGCAGCCAATAAAACTCAAACATCAAATAGCATTTTTAGAACAATTTGCTGGTTAATTTAGCATGCAAGAATAGGAAATAAAAGTTGCAATGACATTTCCTTTGAAATTCCAATAGGATTACATTGGAGAATTTAGTTCACTGGACAACCATGTTCCCAAAATGCTAATAACGCAAGATTTGAAAATTCTTGGTTAAATTTAGGGATCTGTATAACAGAAGTGAATAAACAAACCTTTATTTAGAAACAGAATATTTTAATGAGCAGATTATTAAAGATTAAGAATAGTGATAATGCTTATAATTTAAAAAGATGGACCAAACATATGCTGCCAATCCCTAGAAATTACAGGAGAAAGGTAAAAGCTAATGATCCAATAAATCCATTATCACACTAGAGAAAAATAATGTCAAGCCTGTGTGAATCAGAAACAATATAGAATCTCTGAAATATAAAAAGTAAATAGATGTAATGAAGAGGAAAAAAAAAACAGCTCAATATGATCTATACCTGAAATGATATATAGTTGAAAAAATAAGGGTTTTAGATCTTAGTATACTGGTAAATGTTTAAAATTGATTGGGGCCGAGGTTGGGAAGACAGAAGAGCCCTGGTAGCATTCGCCAAATTTCCATGGTGCAATTATTCCCATCATTGCCACTTTATCAGGAACCTCTTTGAAGTAACTATGCCCATTTTCACTTGGAAAACAAACGAACGAACCAAAAACTAATCCTTCCTATGAAAGTAAGGTGAAATTTTTGAAACAAATAACCAAAATCCCAGATGTGGATCCAACATTTCCCCAACATTTCCATTCTCCAGTCTTGGATATCTAACTGGAGATCTCTTGACTTCCAGTTTCCTTGGTGATGTTGGCAGATGTGTTAGGATTCCCAGAAACTAGGTTTGCCTGGAGGACATCTGCCTCACCTCCAAGGAAAACTTGAGATTGTTACAGGATCATGATTATTAAGCATTGCAAACATCTCAAAGAAAAGTGCTGTGTAAACATACATTCAGAGGTTTTGCAATTGACACGCAAACCACTGAGCATTTTTCCATGTATTTATTTAGCTTCAGATATAAAAAGTTATATTTAATTTATTTTCAGGAGCAGATAATGGGTTTTTAAAAAAACATATATTTATGTGGATTTGCTACAGAATACAGAACTTGTTTAATAGCCTTCAGGAACATAAAAATCTGTACCAAGTGACCTCCAGTTTAGGAATGAAAATAATGATGGACTCACAGGCTGCTGCCTCAAAGAATTTTCCCTCCAAAAGTGTGGGCAGGGTCAAAACAGGCAGGCATTGTGGATTGGCAAATGGCCAGTGTGTTTGGAATACATTGCAAAACAGGTAGGTTCCAAGAATGATATTCTTTTCCCCTCCTGAAGGACAGGAGAAAGGGCGCTGGGCCAGCAATCATTGGAAGGCTCATGAATGTAAAACCATGAATAATGTGGAAACTAAGCTGCACCTGAATAATGTGAAACCAACGTTTCTTCATCTTTTAAACCA